CGGGGTTAGGGGAAACTAGATCTTAAGTGACAGTTTCAAGACGTTATGCTTACCAATACCCAGAACACTGGTATCGATGTCTAGCAAGAGTGTCAGCAAAATATTACCAGCAAAACAGTAGAATCATCAACTTCCCCCAACAATAGATGTGGGGAGTGTGGTCATCAAGGATAACTTACGAGTAGCACCAGCCTCGAGAGCAGAGTAAGCGTTGGCAACAGCACTTGAGCAAAATTAGCGTCCATATAGCTTTGAACTAGTTGTGAGGGTGAGAGGTATGCTTTACCAGCTTGTGTCATCGTGGCTACTTTACGTTAGTCTACATCTCCTAGTAAAACCAATCTCAGGCATGACTTACAAGTGACACTCAATATCGCACTTGACAACTCCGCGAAGAGTTCGAACGAGATCATAGACTTGTCTCGGTGAGGCACAGCCACTGTGAATGAGTCAGTAGTCGTCTATAGATCAGTTGTAATGAGGACGATACGTACACAGTATCTGCAATACCCACCCGGTGGACGCCGGCGTTGTCGACGGCTCTGTATAGGCTCAAAAGATCGACGAGATCACCTACATTGGGTCAATATCGTGTTCCTGCGAGGTCACTGGGGATTACTTGCTCCTAAGCCAATGTTAGTCGTCATGTCTTGGTTCGGTAGGTTCGTGATGTCTCTCCGAGCCATAAGGATAAACGCACCTGAATGAGTCTTCGCTGGAAAATCGGACTTCGACACCTCGGCTAAAAGCAACGTTAGCATGAGAGTCAATAGTGGCCAAGAGTTAAGTCGAATTACCTCTTGATGTAGTTGACGACCTCCAAGGCCTGCTTGGTGATGGCGGCCATGTCCTTGCCATGTGAGTGCTCCCGGAGGAAGCTGGATGTTCCAATGACGACGTCGACACCGTCAACACCACAGTCACAAGCTATAGAGAGTTAGTATTAGTACAATTACTGTTGGTGGGCCACGACGTACCGATCTTTGCATCCTCCAGGGTGCATCGGGTGTCTAAGTGAGCATAGTCAATATGATGAATCGATTGAGAGAACAGAGGACATGGCAATTGGTCCAACTAACGAGTAAGGATCTTGGCCTACGAAAGAGGTCAATAACGGCACAGATGAGAGTAGACGTGGCAGATGGCGTACCTTGAGGCCAAGCTTGCAGATGGCCTCGCAATCAGCACGGCTGGCTGGAGAAGCGCATGGTGAAGTCAACTCAATGTAGTCAACACCAAACTCAGACAGCGCGGTGGCACTATAAATGGCTTTAGCTGTCGGTTGTATCAAGTAATTAGGACAGAGAGGAAGCCGTACATCTTGATCTTGGTCTCTGGTCGCGTGTAAGTGGAAGAATAGACAATGCGCAAAGGCGGGGCTGAAAATACCAGTATCGAAAAAGGCGTTGGCAAACTGCTCGCCCTCTCTTAGTGTTGATTCGATGCTATTTTGGATGAGCAAGAGACCGTTTTCCTGTGGATTTCAGATATCAAAATACATTTTGAACTTGCCAACATTGGAGATGAAGTCGGCGATGTGTTGGTAGGGCGATGTTGTAGCTGTAGCTGTAGCTGTAGCATGCGCGTTGTGGCTCGGGACAGGAAGACCTGTAGTGCCGTTGGTTGCGGCTCCGATGCTCATATTGAATGATTTAGATGTGAGGGGAGATTCGTGAATGGTTCGTTGATCGTAGAGTTCGAGGCCAAGAAGACAGCAGAGAGGCAGAGTATCTAGTGTGGTGAAGTGTTGAAGTGTGAAAGTAACGAAAAAGGAATCTTGGATGGCGCACAAGACGGCGGGAACGAGAGAGAATGGAATTTAGATTGATGGAAAATGGAAACATTCAGCGCAAAAGGATGATACAAGAAGAGGCGCTACTACGATTAACCGTTTTACACGATGGTGGTCAAAGGTATTGGAATCATCTAAAGCATGCGTACATGTTACAGCATACACACAGCATGTATCTTTCTTTAATACCAGTAGATACTGCCAAGACAGCCAATCTAATAGTAATACCATTGATTCATCTAAACAAGACGGACAGACATTCCCACATCGGATCAAGCCCGTTCCTTTGCTACGGACTCCGAAATATGCATCTAATTAAGCCCACCCCGGCACGAAGCGGGGTTGTCAGCTCCGAATGTAACCCGGCCTCCGGGAAGCGCCCGGAATTTGCATTTACGGCTTGAAGTATTTTCCAATCAGTCGAATGTCGCTGGCCAGCGCTGCCGGGTTGTCCACGCCGGGGAAGTGGCCGCCGAATTGCACTTCTAGTTGCAGGGATTCAATTCATTAGCATCACATTATATCGCACTGTCTCCGATACATGTAGTTAGACTCACTGTTGTAGTAGACCAGGTTGCCAATCGTCGCCACCAGCTTCTCCGGATAAAACAGAATGTTGTACTGAAAGTTAGTGTACAGCAGAGGCTGCTTGCTTCTGGCGGTTCGGTAAGTGTGCGAGAAGCCGTCGGGATTCTGGGCGTAGACAAAGGCGGCGGAGTCGAACGTCTGCGTCAGATAGTACAAGGACACGTGCCTGAGAATCTCATTGTTCGTCATAAAGGACGGGCCGGTGCCTCGTCGTGGGTCGGACCCTGTTGCAGTGTTAGCATTACCCTTTGGATTTATTGCATCAATGACCGGGGTGAGGAGCTTGACCCCTTGATGAGGGCGCACTTACAGATGACAAACTTTTCAGCAAGCCATGCCAGCTGCCCGACGGGGTTATCGTACAAAGCAAGGCCAATCGTATTAACCTAGAAACACATTGTTAGCCATTTGTCTTGTTTCACAAGCATTTAACCGTGCCTCAGAGAGAGATGACATACTTCAGTTGTCTGTTCAATATAGTAGCCCGTGCCCGAGTTCTCAAAGTCCATGGCCCTATCTTCCAACTCAATCTCGTCCGCCGCAAGCGCAATGCCCTGCGCCGCCAATTGCTCCGGCGTCAGCGCAAAAAAGGGCAAAAACGCAAAGTGCACCGCCTTGACCGTCGTGTTGAACTGATCGTACATGTCAAACGCCACGCCGCTGCCCCAGTCCGTTCCGTGCACGGCATACGTCTTGTACCCCAGCACCTGCGTCATGAGCGTGTTGAACAAGGTTGCCGTGTCGGAAATTTCCCAGCCATTGGGTGCGGGAGAGGAGAAGCCGAAGCCGGGGAGGGATGGCACCACGATGTGGAATGGCTGGCTGGAGTTGCTTTTGAGCTGGTCGACGAGGTGTGTCATTTCCAGGAACGAGCCCGGCCAGCCGTGGAGCAGGATGAGAGGAATAGCGTTGGGATCTTTGGACTTTTCGTGGATAAAATGGACATTTTGAGCTCCTATTTGAACCGTAAAGTGGTTATATCTATGTACTTGAGTCAGCCTGTGAATGTATTCATGCTGCTTTATCCATACGTGTTTATCTGCTCTTGTTCCTTTGTCCAGTTGAAGCTAGTCAACCATTCATTTTGCAGACTCTTGAGCGTAGAAAGTGGGATTCCCGTTGTCAAGCTCATATTCAGGTTTGCATGGGCGGCTGGGAGCTCTGCTGCAGGAAGAACGGTCCTCTGAATAAGATCAAGCATGTGAGGCACCCGTGAAGAAAGATTGACTGTGAAAGGCTTTGCGACTGGAGCATTTGCCGCAGCTGCTTTGGACAGCAGCCCGAAAGAGCCAAGAAGAAGAGAAGTCTTCATCTTGAAGTGTTGCAAAGATGCTCGAGTGCTACTGAGTTTGTCGGGGGAATAGGTGTATTCCTATCCAGCCAATGCTTCTGTCCTGAGTAAAGGTTCTATTTCATTGAACATTCATGATCCTTTTATATATTGAGATTCCCTCAAGTTTGACATCTTCATCTCGATTCACGTCTAATTCCCATTGGCTCTTTTCACTACGGGCCGCCGTAGGAGACATTATACTATTCGGGAAATATGATTGTTGCCTTTTCCCCTGCAGGCCCCACGATGCTTGGTCCCGTTTAACAGTGGTCAATGCAACAATGCTGAGTAACATATACTTTTTCTTTGCTCTTTGCGCGGGAAAGGGGGCATTTGGCCGCGGAATATGTTTATACGAAGTTATAAACCGCCGGAACTCCTCACTTGTTAATATCGCGAGCCGTGTTGATGCATCCGCTAGGTACAATCGAGACACGCCGGGCGACGCTTTTTTCCTATAGCGGGCGTGAGTCTGGCGGGACGGGTTGGAAATCAGGATATAAGCAGCCTGCTAACGGAGCATTTTCATGCGCTTTTCACGCCTGAGCTAGGTTTGTATATGAAGCCATCGTGAACTGGGTAGACTTCAAGGGGCAGACACGGCATGCAAGCGGCCGTCGGAAAGACTCGGCACTCGAAGCACTGGTCCCAGTTTCTCTATGCCATATATGGCAATGATAAAGGACTGCTCAGCACATGTTTTGATCACTTAAATACAACCTGGACAAACATATATAACCAACACGACATAAGATAGCTAAAATGCCTCTCTATTATGAGCACAAGGCTGTGCGGTGGAGTCTCGACGAGAGACGATCTCTTGAGCTTAACGGCCATTAGCCAACTAAAAAGCACGCCGTGTCCGGGCTGGCCCGTCAAATGTTCCTCGGGATGTCTTACTCTAGCTCGGGGCATTGCTGCACTAGCGCATCTGTGCCTTGGGGTGATTACGAGTTCTCTTGGTGTGAGTAAGCGGTTATGAGAAGTTTGGTAAGACTTGGGGCTTATTTTACAAAGAAAGGTCGAATTGTAGGGTAATCTGATGGAGGTTTTGGCGTTTACGGCGTTCTGTAGAAGCAAATGTTGGCATCTACTTGTCTTTGATGCAGTTTCACGATCAGGATTGCCTACGAGTATTTTGGGGACTACTTTAACAAGTTGGCCATAGACAAACCAGACAGCGTTTATTAAAAAAAAAAAAATCCCAAATAATCTTGGAATAGTTTACTCGAGCAATGAAAACGTGATGTTTATCCTTTTCGGGAATGCTCTTGCAGTCATTCGAGTGTCCAAGTGCACATGTCAGCATCTACACCGTTTCTACAATGAAACGGAACACCCAAGTCAATACGGCAGCCTCGCCAGCATCAGTCTACATATCCAATGCAGCAGAATCAGCCACATCTCCGTCTTTCATACGGAGACAGAGCACATCAATTGGCCAACCGGAATGTCCCAAACTGACAGAAAGGCTACAGTCCCGGCACTGTCCTGCACCGCCAGCAAGCCAAATGCCCCCTTCACCGCCATCACCACTCACATGTAAACAGGATGGCAGTCCCCAATATAAACCCACAATCCCCCATAAAGATCCCCGTCACTTCTGCCAACGCAGCAACGCATTGAGAGCAGGGCCAAGATGGAAAAAGGGTCAGCTGAATCCCCCCGTTTTTGGGCTGCCACGCATACAGGGCGTGAAGCCATGCCATGCTCATGCCCGCATGGAACAACGACAGAACTTGCTTCTGGAAGATACAAATGTTCCACGCATGTGGCCCCCCTTATTATGTATTGCCAGCTGGATTACGGCGTGCATGAATACTACTTACATGCACTCATGCGAGGCACCTTGTCAACATGGTACTGTATCAATGGGGTCTTTGGGCAGAGGAGCAGTACGGGGTTGCATCGACACGTGTGCACCCGCGGTAGATGCGTCTCAACTGCCGGAGCAAAGAAACACGAAAGAGAGAGAGATGCCAATTGAGAGAGTTGGATAACTATACCTTTCTCTATCTTGCAATGATATGCTATTAGAAGTACGAGTAATACGGGATAAACACTATTATTAGAAGCCGATACGATGCGATACGATGCGACAAGAAACAACACGAGCCATCTATCACGAAGATTCAACGAAACCAACCCTCTTCCCCGGACAAACACTTATCCACAACGTACAACTGATGGTTAGTCTCGTAAACTGCAAAAGCCACAAAACGGGTTGCCAAATGGAATAACCCGCTGTCAAAAAGGGACAAAATAAAAGAAGAAGCCATCCCACACCTCCTTTACGCCAGTTTTGCCCACGTACTGTACAACCCACTCACACCTTTTCGATTTTTTCCCCCCATCCCGCTTCATTCACCGGGGCGCCCCTTTGTTCAAAAACGGCAAGAAAACGAACGAGCAAACCAAAGAGCCCAAAAAACAAAAAGCCACAAAGAAAATTTTTTTTCTCTTTCCCTCGGTCTGGCTTGCTCTGCTTGTCCTTTTCTACCCCAGGCCCAGCGGCGATTACTTTGTCTTCTTGAAAAGCCGAATTCTTGTCCCGAGAGGCCGGTTTGCCTCCCCCAATTCGGAGGTCTTTTGTATCTTTATTCGCCGTTCAATTTTTCTGTTTCGGTCGCCGTTCCGGTGTCGTGTTGGAGTTTAGCTTAATGTTAGTTACAAACCTTTGGGGGTGGCACACATTCACATGGTTTTGGGGATGGGGACGGCTGAAGACGCGCTGAAGCGGCACAGGAATTTACGAGCTGAAGAAGCTGAAATAACCCGTAAGAATGAGGCCATTCGACTTTTTTTGCCTGCGTATTATTGGCGACTGTATTACGTCAAGTAAAAAGATACGTGTGCGCATCATACATATGTAGGGTATTCGGTGAGCGTATCCTCCATATCGCGTGCATCTTAGTAGAAACTTGCCATGAATCATCTCAACAACCATAATCAACGCAACACACAAATTCTTCCTCCTATCATCGGCGGCAAGGACGCGCGCTCATCCCCGAAACTACGGTCCGATCTCCAAAAAAAGAGAGCGAAAAAGGGAGCGAGAATAAAAAGAGTGACAATCATGACTTGGTAGGGTAACCCGCGTGGCGTAACACTTGGGGCCAGCCACATGGCACCACAAAATGCTCCATCCAGGCAGCCATGATTCAACACTCCAATGTCACTGTCAGTGTCACTGTCACGCACATGTCATTGAAGAGTCATTTTTGTGTGTTTTTTTAGAATTTGTTATTGCATTTGTTATATTGTTATGGTATTCCTGCCATTCAGTTGTTTCGAGACTTTGGGTATAATCCCCTGCCCCCCACGACCTCCCCATCCCCATATCGCATTATCCTTTCCATCGTAAAAATAATAAGTTGTAACCAAAAGATATTGTTCTACAATAAATCCCGTAAAAGTAATAAACAGCCAGTAAAAAAAGACACCATCCATATTTTCCCATGGGGTATAAGAAACAACCAACAGCGAAGTCAGTCGCCGAAACCATGTGAAAGCCCGATTGGATTTGAACCCCTTCTGGCGATGCACCCACACCGGCCAGAAATGTGTTTGTTGGAAGAAAATATTGAAAGTTCAAGCCCGCGCTCCCGATGCAACCAGTGAATGAAGTCCATGGTGATGGAAAAAAAAAATGATGGAGATAAATGATGATAAAACGCCAGTGTAAACCCGTTATGATGAGGTAGCCGAATGATTGGAAAAAATGATATTCTTTTCTCTTTCCCGCAGTCGATGATGGTCTAAAGCGATGAATGTTGTAGCTGGGTATGTTATGATGAAAGAAAGGCCGGCGTAGTCGTGATAGAGATGAGGAGGATGGAAGTGATGATGGTTATGGATGTCGAGGTCGAGTGGGCGGAGATGATGATGTGTGTAGGGTATAGCTTGCATCTAGTTAAAGAGAAGCCATACACGCAGGATGGAAGCCATGCATCAAGCAGGCACTCCATCCCACGTTACCCAAAGACAGGTCAAGGTCGTGTAGTAGTGAAGAGAGTATAGTTGGTTCACTTTCGGTGAGTCTTCTTCAGCGCCTTGCCGTCGTGGTAGTGTCTCCTCGTGCGCTCTCGTCCTCGGCGCTCCTCCTCCTCGTAGGGGCTCTGGTTGCCATCGTCGCTGCTGTTGCTGCTGGTGCTTCGCGAGCGGTCCTCCTCGTACCAGGCGCTCAGCGGCTTTCCGCCAAACATGAGGTCCTCGTCCTCGATGATGATGGGCTGGATCCACGCCTGGACGTTGAGGTCAAGCTCGTGGGCGGAAGGCTCCATGGTTTGTAGGTGGTAGTATGAGTCTGACTGCTTGGGAGACATGGCTGGATATTTGTGTGGAGTTGACGCGACCAGCGCTGTTTGAGATTGTTGGCGGTGGTTGTTGGGAGAGGGAGAGATAAGACGTCTCGGATAGGTGGTGGGTTTTGTTTGATTTCCCTCGCGTCGACGCGCAAAAGTAGATAGTTTGTTCGTGTTATGTGATTCGGGCCGCGAGTGCGTTTGGTGGGAGTACAAGGTGTGAGTGAGATAAGGGTATATATGGATAGTGGTATTGATTATTTGTTGTTGTTCGTCAAGAGGATCCTGATCCTGCTGTGAGTCGTGTAATCTGATTATGGTATGTTGTTTTCGACGTGATGGTATAAACGATGTTTGTGAATCTGGAGAAAGCACAAAATCCAAAAGTCTGGGGGAATTAGGGAGCATTATAGTCGAGTCCTCGATGGCCGCTCCTCGGCCCCGGCGCTCGAGTCAGAGCCAAGAAACTAGCTGCGTCCCACCGAAGAGCCTCGCCTCCCTCCCTTGCCCTAGCCTGGGGTGGGTGTCGCAGTAAGAAAAAGGACGGGGGGGGGTGTGTCTTGGCCGGGACCATCCGGAAAGGGGTGATGATGTTTCGAGCATGTCAGGATGACCCACGGCTGTGCTACGGCGCTACCAAGGCAGGTTTTCTGGTTGATCAAGTTTGCTGTGCTCTGCTGGGAAATCTAAATCGAGCCTTGAAGCCGCCTTTGTTTTGCCTCTTTGATCGAAAATAGTGTCCGAGTGAAGACATACTGACACGCACAGCCTCTCGATTCGGACTCTTTGTTCTTGCTCTGTTTTCTCCATCGGGACAAGTCAATGAAAGCATCTCATTTACAGACATCTGGACAACTATACGAGTAACTGAAAGAGAAGAGAAAAAAACGCAGCTGCCAAATAAAGGGGGGGAGGGGTGAGACACGGACCCAACGAAGGAGTGCGGCCAGCAAGGGACAAAAGAGAAAACGGAGTTGGGCTCTCCGACTTTTCGGACGGTGGCGTTTTGTCTTTATTCCTTTTATTCCTCTTTTTTCCCTCCATTGCTCCCTTCCCTCTCAGTGCCCAACCCCGTTTCCCGAGGCCCGAGCCCCGGCTATACCTACTGTAAACCGCAACTCGTAGAGCCTGAAGCATCAATGATCCTTTTGCCACGCGGCACGCACTTCACAGCTGATGCGCTGGTTCGCCTCTTTTCAGCTGCGGAAAGCCTTGCTTGCTGCGGGGACACGTAACGAAGGCATGCGTTGCGTGTCTGAGTTGTTGCTACTGCTACTGTTAAAATTCGATAGCACGCGCATGTTAATTTACCGCCTTGTGTCTGGAACCCTTGGACTTGCAGCGATACTATTTGCCGGGGAACGGGAATGCCTGCACCGCCAATTTAACAAGCTTGATTTCCTTTTCATTTCGCCGTCCCACTGCGGCGCGGCGGCAGGGATGGGATCCATTTGCGAACAACGCAAAAAAAGCAAAACGGCGGTAAATGGTTCCCTCCTCCGAAATGGCGGTCTCCCCAAAGAGCCGGGGATCGCTCTTTTGATTGACACAAAGTTGGGGGTGGCTTTCCAAAACCCACTCCGAAACTTGTGAGCCACACAGTCCTACATACTGTAAGGGCTCTCAGTTTTAGCCCGGATTTCGAGTCAAAAACGGAGAGCGGAAAAGGGAAATTGACAAGAAAGCTTTCAAAAGGAAAACTGTCACCCGCCCAATCGCCCTTGAGCTGTGGCATGTCTCGCACCCGTGACGGCTCGATTCGAGCACAAGACGCGGCCACCCTCCATCACGAATCGATTCCGGAATCCTTCTTTGACACAGACAGCTGAAGCTGCCCAACAACTCCCCAACCAACCATTCAAGTCGCGAGGGAACAAACGGTGGCCCGAAAAGGACGTGCCGTTTCCGCTAATGCAGCTTGTGCTTTTGAGTTGATGCTTTGCCTCCGGGAAAAGGCTCTAGTGTCTAGTTTTTCGATGTGGGCGGCCTGCCATTTCTTTGTCCATTTCTTTGTTCTTATCCGGACCTCTTGGTGGTGGTACACACGGAGTTGCTTTGTTCTCGTTGGCTTTGGCATGTGGTTGTGTGTTTTTCCTTTTATCCTTCCTTTTCCATCCAGCCGGCATCTTCTTTCATCTATACAATCCATCTATCTCGATTAAAGGCAAAACACCAAGAAAGATGAAAACAAAATGAACAGAATGACAAAAGGACCGGTGACCATACACACACGCACACGCAGACACACTCCCCTCCCGCCCAGCCAGCGCCATGTCTGTGCTCGACATCCCGTCCCCTTCTTTCGCCTTGCCAATCACAGCGCGCCGCTACTCTCCTCGTACATGAAACAAAGAAGCATCACATTACGAGCTGGCCATACGAACAAACCAGTGCCGTAAATGCAAAAACATTAACCAGATAAAAGGGCCGCTGATTCGACGCCTCCCCGGATCGACAATGCGGTCCAGACGTCAGAAGAGCGGTCTCCAGACTCTTTGACTCTGTTTAATTTCACCTTTCTCCGTGCATGTGCTGTACTTTGATAGACGCCCCGTTGGGTCGTAAAAAATGTGACTTGTGTCCTCGGCTGTTCCAGCCCGGTTGGCAGTTTGGCGAGCAAAAGCACAGACAGGTACAGAGATTACCTCGTACCGTAATCTTCCGTATTTTACCAACCTAAAGCAAGATATCGCCGTATTCTTATCATCTTACGCCCACGGGCATTATATCTCGCAAATGCCCTTGCATCGTTCCTAGGGACCCGTGTGTAAAGATAGATACCGTATGAATACATCGCAACCCCGGCGGTTGATTCCGAGCAAGGGCCGGAGTGACCATCTTACATACATGCGTGATGCTTGTCCTGTTCCTAGCTGCGAATCTACCCGCTCACGTTGCCCTGTTTCCCTCTTGGGCAGGTCGTCTCTCTTTGGATTCACATCCCTCCGGGCATCAGGCAAGTCGAAGGGCAAAAAAAAGAGCCCGGCGGATGAGCCAATCACCCGCGCTGCAACTGACGATGCCTGCCTTGCACTGCCCTTTTTGGCTGCCTGGATGAAATGGAAAGCTCCTCATCTACGAGTATGCTTGTCTGCCTATCCCTCGTCGTAAGCACCGTTGCGCCGTTTATCATTTGCTCTTCGCTTCAGTTTTAATCTGGGCAATCAAAAAGGCTGCCCAGCAAGGGCTTATGCCTTCGCCCATGTAACAGTCCAATCGCCTCGCTCCGTTGCCCACACACCACTTGTTCGGAGCGCCCAGCCCAGGCAACTCATCTCTGACTGCATGCACGGCCGATCGCCTTTGGCTGCAGGCAGAGCCACACAGGCATTTTTTAATTTTCAGGGTTCAAGCTCTTCCAGTGGTTTAGTCCCGGCATACCCCGCGATCCAATAGCCCATCAAAGCGAGTAGATGCAGTAGCACATGTAATATTCCACATATGTAAGGTAGCCTGTGGTTGTCGAGAGACGTGATAGGCGCCCGGCAAAGACTCACCGGGCCAAGAGAGACGCCCAATCATTAAAACCCCCGTTTGCAACGCCGGCTTTTTTTTGCCTAAACGAACTTTGGCCAGCTGTATCGCTCTGATTGAAAGAACTCGCTCACCGGTGCGAAATCACCCGCATCATCTGCCTAAGCCACCTGGTCGAGGTTGGACATCAAAATGTTTGAGGGTGGGCTTCGAACCGGAGTAAAAGCACCAGCGGAGCAAAACGGGGCACAGAAGAATAGCCCGTTGAAAATGTAACCGCAGATGGTTTGATTTTACCCCATACTTCTGGACGGAGCATCTCGGGATATCACAGCAAGCTGGGGGTGGGAGCTAAGGCTTGAAGCTAGCATCTCGGAGCTCCAAGCTATTCTGACTCACTCACATGTCTTTCCTTTCTGTTTGATGTTCAGCCCTACCTATTAGCTGTAGGAGGAGGAAGAGGCATTTGTTCTTCACTCCCTCCGTCTTGTGCTCGTTTGCCTTGCGCCTTTGGTACATCTATCACTTACACACACCACCATTTCCATTTCGCACACCGCACATGTCGCACATGTCAGGATGCTGACCCAATCTCATGGATCCCTCGGTGGCGATCCCCGAGCGTGCACGAGGAGCAAATCGGCAGATGAACAGCGACAAATTTAATTGATAGCGACACCGCCAGTCGAGATGGATGCAGACACAAGACATATTAAACGGACTTCGCATCTTTCAATCCGCCCGTTTCCCAGCAAGACGGGCGTATCGATATCGACACTGTATCTCTTGTAATATCTGAATACTCGGCGATTCATTGGCATATAATTCGCCGTAGAGGACGGTATCGGGTCCTCTCTCGGCGCAATACCGCCGGCTTGGCTCTTCCCTCCTCTTAGCCGCCCACAGTCATGATTTCATCCGTCAAAGCGAATCCTCAAATTATCCCCCTCAAAGCACACTGTAAAACCAACCCTATCATTCAATGACTCGTGCAACAGCCAATACTTGCCATAGCTGGCGTATTGCTTGGCTTTCTGCTCCACGAGATGCCCCAGAGATGGATCCATAAACCTCCATAGATGGGCGGGGGTTCCCCGCATATGAGCCCCCCGTTTTCGAATCCCTTACTCGTATCGTACGAGTTGATCGTGAAGCTATCTATCAAAATCCTGATCTTGTATCCTGGTGCCTACAGTAGAGACAAGAAATTACCAGGAATGGTATCCCGTAGGCGCCCCGGGGAGCTGACGACTCATATTGGATGTCTTACTTGTCCTTGTAGTAAGAGTAACATCTCCAGTGCCGACATGTCAGCAAAGTAAGAGACACAGCCTGCTCTCACGTAAACCTATGTTGCCAATCAAGATCATTCTTAATCAAAATCCGGAGTCAGATGCAACCACAGCCCTGTGACTGCTCCTTGCAACAAAAAGCGTTTATTCCCGGCTCTTGTCCTCCCCCTCGGAGATCAAAAACCCCCATAGCTCCCCCCTCCAGAATCTACCACTGTGTAACCCCTGCAGCGCAAATGTCTCTCATCTCGCCAACATTCCGCCTCACTTTCAACAGACGCAATTCTCTCTCTTCGCACAGTCCAGATCATGCGCCTCCAAATAGCAAAAGCAAAGCAAAGCAACGTCCACGCGCACCCGCGAAAAGCCGAATGCGATAACACGCACGTACGCAATCTAATCGAAAAGAATACGCTTGCGAGATTTGGCATATGCTGGCCAGATCCGAGACGGTGATCATGGGATGCCGGGGGGGGGGGATCATTGCATTCTCACATGCCGCCGAGATTTGATGGCACGCACACTTTCCCACCGTAACACTGCAACAAATAGGTCAAAATGAGCTCGATTAAATTAAAAGCATTTGGCCTAATAACTGACCCCCATTCCAAGCAGTTTAAAACGGTCGGGTAGCAAAAAAGATCAAAAGCCCCAGTCATCTGCTCCAGTAAGTAAATTCATGCGCCATCTTAATTAATTCAAATCCCAAAACCCAGCATCGCAATCAATGACATCATCATTCTTCAACACTTGCAATTCCATCAAAAACACAAACCCAACACCTAAAACCACAATCGCACACCCCCCCGGTGTCTTCCCTGAAACCCACATCCTGTTTTTCTTAACAGATTTAGAAAACCCGCATCTAAATTAAATTCGCATCTTTCATGATGACGAACTTCAGCCACGCCTCCCGCCGCTGCTGCAGGGGCGTAACGACGTCATTGCGTCATCGCTCTTCAACCCAATTCCTCAGCTTCCTTTAGGTCGTTAAAACGGTCGCCGAGAATCGCCCCCTTACCTAGAATGAACAACTAATCTATGCTCTTTTTCATTTTCGTGGCAATGAATTCGGTATTTCTATCTATAGCTATAGCTGTTCAATCAAACACCTCCGTACATCGGCCGGAGCTTCCCCCGAAACGCCTCCGTCATGACGCAATAGTTGTTCCCTTGAAGGCGATCTCCTGATCTAGATTGCTGAGAATCAGAAATGGCCCTTTTGCTCGCTTTTGCATGGTTCACTGTTCACCAGGTCCGATGTGTCTCATGGTGGTTTTGCCTCATGCTCAGTTTTCGCCCTCATGATGCCCTCACGGCGTCATCCATCACCTACCTACCAAAATAGGTAGCCTTCTATCCCCCCCCCCTCCCAGCTACATTCCACCACCACATGCAGTATTCCTCACAATACCCCCAAGAAGAAAACAACAACAGTTAAGCTGATCCATAGTAATAAATCTCAATTATCTTCTCACTCCAACTGCTTCATCTCTCGAATCCGCATCATGATCCAATCCGCACACTTGACATCCTCATACTTCTTCTCCCCCTCAACAACAACACTACACGTCTCATGCAGCCCAAACCCCCAAAAGATGGGAATGCTCACCCTCTCCTTGCCACTATAATTCCTCGCCCGGTGAACCGTACTCGTGTACTCGTCATTCGTAATTCGTTGCATGCAATCCCCCAGATTCACAACCAGCGTGCCATCTATCGGCTTCGCGCGCAGCCATTGGCCCTCCTTGTTGAGAACCTCAAGTCCGCCGTGTAAATCCTGCCATAGAATCGTAAATAGCTGAAAGTCCGTATGCGATCCAATCGACACCTTCTTATCATCCTCCTCCTCACTCTTCCCTGCATCTTGTTCCGTAGAAGGCTCAATCGGGGGGTAGTAGCTAATCACGTACGACGAACCCGGATACCTCACCTTCTCATCAAACAATCCCTCCTCCAACCCCAACGACAACGCAAAACATCTCGTCAGCGCCCTCGCCAACCTCAAACACTCCCCCATATGCCTCATCATGCTCTCCTTCAACCGCGGCAAATTCCTCGTCTGCTCCCACGGATAATCATCCTCCCAAGCCAAATACTCCCTCGCCTCCTCCGGTATATCCCCCATCCCATCCTCCCCAACAGTGTCATCATACCTTGGATCATACTGATACGAAAACGACTCCCGCAAATCAACACTCTCAACTGGATTCAACCGCTGCGTATTCGGCCCCTGGTATCCCTTATCCCACCTCGTCCCGCTCGAATCCGCCCTCATCTTGATCTCCAAGTCCTGTCTGAAAAACTCCAACCCAGCTTCATACACGTCCTGCGTCACCTTTGCAGGGATGCCGTGATTCTTGATGTAGAAGAAGCCCATGTTCTGCGCGGCGGCGCGCACCTGCTGGGCTACGGCCTGCCTCTCGTCGAGCGACGAGCTGAATATTGGCGAGATGTCGATGATGGGGATTTCAAACGGCAGGGCGTCGCGGAGGGGGGTGCAGAGGATCTTTCGTGTGACGATGCCGCTGGGCGATGCGAGACGGAGCTCCGTCGTTGCGGTGACTGTTTCTGTAGCCATAGTGGGCGACTTGTTTTGTCTGCCTTCTTCGTTTGTCTGGTGTCGAATCGTATCTCAAGTCTCGTTCGAAATGGCTTCACGTAGAGTCAGCATGCAATCAGATTCTAGTCAGGAACAAATCTTTGCCAGTTACCAGCGATTAAGAAGCGGGGGTTACATTGAGTACCGTCCAGCCCATGTAACACGACCATTGGTCGACGCTTCAGCCAGCATATCTCCAGATCTGCAGTCACATAGCCAAGTACTCTGATGTCGTGTCACATTGCATCTTGAGAAAGCAAGTCAGGAGCAAATAGTATCGTTCAATTCAATGTGCCAACCCCCAAACTCCGCGTGCCATGCCCTTAAAAACAACGGAAAAAAAAAATGAACTCAAACAAAAAAAAATTACACAAATGCCCCCCTTCCCCCCTTCCTGGTATCTTGTTTTTTAACGCCTCGCAATGCAAGATTGTTTTTTTTTTATATTTTTCTTTTTATATCCCCCTTCTCCCCCTTCTCCCCCTTCTCCCCCTTCTCCCCCTTCTCCCCCTTCTCCCCCTTCTCCCCCTTCTCCCCCTTCCCCCTCCTGCCCCTCCACTTCGTCGGAAGTGATGGGAACTGTATAGCTCAACCGGTGGGAACCTTGCGGCTCAACCACCGGGAACTATACAGCTCGACCATCACTTCCGACTCCGTGTTGACGCGCGAGTCGCGCGCTTGGGGGCAGGAGTCCCGTTCCCTGCCATTCCTAGGCCGGCTGCGATCCTGCTGGACCGCTGCTTCTGCGCCGCTGCCGAGGGTTTGGCCGCGGGCTTGGAGACCCGGCTCCCGACCACCGTGGCCTTGGCCTTGGCCGGCCGCCCCCTCTTTGGCTTCTCTTCCTCCTGGTACGAGGCCAACGGCTCCTTCCAAACAACGCTCTTGCCACGTCCAGCCTTGGAGGTCTCGGCTTCGTCCTGCTGGCTTGCCTCTTCCTCTTCCTCCTCAGAGTGCCGAGCCAAAAATTGGGCAGGATACTCAGCATTCCCCTTGTTACGGCGAGTGTTGGCGCGGGTTTGGTGGACCAAGTCCTGCTGTTCGTTGCGCACAGAGCCCAGGGTGTTAGGGGGACGTCCACGACCGACTTTGGTGGGTGCTGGAGTCGACGGCTTGGGAATGGCGCTTGGCTTGGTCTTTAAACGCGAGGATCGGCGGGATGCGGCCGGAACGGGGGCCTCTTTCTGCTCTTCGTCGTTTGCCAGCTCGTCGACAGCATCACTTGTCTTGACTGATGTTGGTGCCACGTCCTTGGCGAGGGGATCTTCATCATCTGAGTGATTCATGGTAGCAACAGGCTTTGGCTTTGGCTTTGGCGGGGTGGTTCGATGAACACGGCGGACTCGCTTGGCAGCAGGCTCCGGCTTGGCCTCTGGCTCGTTCTCGTTCTCTTCTCCTTCGCTACTCTCAAACTTGCGCTTCTCCTTTGGCTGAGTCTCCATGTTAGGGCTTCTAGCTCCAAGAGGTTGACGCTGCACAGGGGCGATGGCGATGGGGGAGCCGGTCTCGGTGGTAGAGAGACGTCGGGGCTTCGAGCGTCTGATGAAATCGCGCAGATAATCGCGCTCAGGGGTATCGTCGTGGCTGATGGGGTATGGCTTTCCGGATTCTGGACTGGTAGAGGAGCCTTGCTTGTTGCTAAGGGTAGGGCTAGCTGCTTTCTTTTGAGCGCTGGCTTGGTTCACGGGGGTAAATGAGATGGGTGAGGTTGAGGTAGGGTCGTTGGTGGTTGTTGAATTGGCGGGCGATGGCTCGGCATCTGCATAGGCAGATTGCTCTCCTGCGTTCCCGGCGGCCATGATGGCAATGCTCAGTGCAGATGATCCGTTCAGAGGTGGCGTATTCTCAAGGTCAGAGAGAGAGGAGCTGTCGGTATTAACGGCAAGCTCTGAGTTCATGGGAAGCTCTGGGATTGTGGGAAGTTCCGGGGCCACGAGAGACTGCGAGTTCATGTCAGGCTTATAGACCATGCCAGGCTGATAGACTTTTCTGTCAGATGTGGTCACGTAGTCGGGAATGATGAACTGATCGGCAGGTGTAAAAGGAACCTTTTGCGATGCTGGAGCGGGTGAGCTGGTGGCGATGCTTTGACGAGAAGACGAGCCGCGCTTGGCAGGCGAGGTAGCAAAATCGGAAACAATGAGAGTTTCATCACTGGGATAGAAGTCTTCATGATCGGGAGATGTTAAGGGCATCAAAGGCGAGCCGAAATCGGAAACAACAAGAGTCTTATCAGCGAGATGAGATTCTTCATTCACTGCAGACAGTGAGGCGCGCTTGGTAGGAGAGCCGCCAAAGTCGGAAACAACAAGGGTCTTATCAGCGAGATGAGATTCTTCCTCTGCGAGAGGCGATGAGCTCCATTCAGATCTCTGTCGAGGTTCGGGACTGGGTGTTTCTCCTGGGAATTTGCGCTGGAAGTAGTGTGCTTGAGGGTCTGGCCGCCAGGGGTCTCTGTCTGCGCGTGAGTCTTGGGGGAAATGCTCAATGTACTTGATCGGCAGCTTAAACTGAACAAGAAGCCTTTCTCCCCTCTCAGCAATTATGACGCCAGCCTTGTCGTAACATCCGGTCTCTGCCATGCGGGCCAGCCGCTCCACAGGGTTATGCGGGGGAGGAGATTCACGGCGGTATCTGTCGTTGGGGTCGTCGAAAACATCGTCTGGATGGCGAACAGGAGGAGGAGCATTTCTTCTCTCTCTCAGCACATCCTCTATCTGCGCCTTGTAATCCCACGAGAGGCGGTGGAAATCGTGTGGATCTCGGGGGTCCACGCCTTGGGCGAGCATGTCTTGGGCTTGCATGTCTTGGGCGTCCATGTCTTCGGTTTGTTCGATAGCAGCGGTGTTGAGAGTGTTTGACTGAGTCGCAGAAGAGTTGAAGAGGTTAGAAGTTTGAGAATGCTCGGGAATTCGAGAGATGGAATTATCGCTGGGAAAGGCTGGTTCATCAATGGTGGGCATGGCCCCACTCGATCTGATGTGAGGTGAAAGTGAGGTTCGTCGCAAAGTGTGGGATTTGAGCATGTTTCTGACCAGCGGCTCACTTTTGCGTCGCCTGACAATCTTTGTGCGCTCAATCTCAATTGAGTCCGTTAGGACATTAACCCAGGAAGCTGAATTGGTGAATGAGGGAGAGGAGGGTCGGAATTCAATGTTGCTGGGGTCGTATTTTTCGAGAGTTGCGGGTGACTTGTTGTGCTGCATCCACTCAGGCAGGGATTTGACCAAACCGAGAGACGCTCCATCATTGGCGGGCGTGGCAGCTGCAGAAGAAGCCTTTTGGCTAGGGGTCGAAGGTAGAAGGCCGCTCCATTTAGAAGGAGTAGGGGCGTTAGGGCGAGACTGGTGCGTAGGGGATCCAAACATGATAGAGCTGTCTTCCATGCTAATGTCAAAGGTGGAGGAGTCGTTGCGAGGGGATGAAGGTGTTGTCGAGAGGCGAGCAGGTTCCGATTTGCGCTTTGGGCGCCATCGAGCAAAGGGCGATTCTTTGGAAGAGCGGTTGGACCATCGAATGAGGCCGGGAGTAGAGTTTGCCGATAGTAAAGGCGACTTGGATGCACTGGGACTTTTGGGAATGGTAATAGAGGGCGTTTGCTGACGAGGGCTTTCAAAGTCCTTGCTGGGTGTAGGAGGAGAAGACGGCTTGATGGGAGAAGGCTCAGCCCGAGGGGAGGATCCTGGCAACAGTCTGACAATGGTGTCGCTGAGTCTCTTGCGGAAGCTCTTGCTGCTCTTGGTAGGGCTTGGGGACTGGGTAGAGGCTCGCTTCGTGGGAGACTTGGCGTCTGACATGGACTCGTTAGGCTCCAAGGTCAGGACGCTGGACGGCTCGCTGTCGTCGGCGATATATGATAGCCCTGGCATGCCGCTGGCAGCCAGAAGAACTCGGGGGTTGCGAGACATAGATCGTAGGTGGACTCCAGCCTCTGTGATGGATGCCATGCTGACGTCTATTTCGGTGACGCCGCTCTGCATAGCTCTGGAGAGTATAGGGTGGAGCTCGCTGTAAATGGCGTAGCCATTGCCTCCGCTCGCGTACTCGAAATCGACGGAGGAATAGTTGCTGAAGCGGCGCTTCAGGGGGACAGTCTTCTTGGTGTACTGGCTCTGCTTGGCCAGGTTTCTCTGCTCCGATACGTCGGTGTATTCTTCGTGGAGGTAGCAGTTTGCAACGTCCACTATGAAACAAAAGTAGTCAGCAAATTGTAGCTCGAGCGTCGTCGCTTTGACGGGGATGTTGCAGGAAAAGGAAACGAGAAACAAACCCTTGGCGCGCATGACGGCGCTTGCCACCTCTGCTCTGGACAGAGGCTCTCCCACCAACTCCAACACGGCGTCAGCCGTCGGCACAAACGAGTTTAGACGGCGACGGTTCGCCTGCTGTGCCTCCTCGAGGTCTTCTGCCACCTCGGTCTCTGCTGCGGCCTGGCTGGCCGCCACCACACGAGCCACTCGGCCCACCCGCTTCATGATTGTCATGCCCTTTCGAAGAGTTGAAGGGCCGGCCGAGACAGGCACGCGGCACCACGCACGCAGAATGGTCGCTGGCTTTTGGGCGACCAAATTGTCCGCCCACGAACTGTCCAGAAATCGCGTCAGTACCCGGTCACAGCAAGGGGATTCTAGCAAAGGCGAGTTGAAGTCGTCGTCGGTCGGTGTGATACGCACATCTCTGTCTTGGCCTCCTGGGCCGCCGGGAAAAACGTCACAAACGACGCTGGGGGAGGATTGCTGCAATGTATCATCAGCCTACGATCAGATTCCAAAATGCAGTTCAATATAGTCCAGCAGCAGGTCTTACTTGTCGACGGGCTCGTGCCCGCTTCCCCATCCGGGGCTGGTCGTGCCGTCCATTGCGCAAAACGGCTGGTTCCTGGTTCCACGATTCGAAGATGTTGTGGTTGAGGCGTCGGAATGCTTCGAATGTGGAAATTGGCGGGTGGGCTTTAACTGCACGGAGCAGCGAAGTGAATTGCTACCCCACGCGCGCGCGTTTAACTGTGAATCATGAAAAAGTCGCGTGTCTTGAAGTGCGTGCGTGAGGCGCGATAAGAGCCAGAGCCGAAATTATTCAAGGAATTATGGCCCATCTTTTGTTTACATTGGACCTGATTCGGGATGCAACTGGGGTGGGCTAGTCCTAATGAGGCAATGAAGGCGGTACGTGCTCCCGTAGAGGGGCATCAATTAACGGGCTCGTGACGCGTTAATGGGCTGGCCGTTTGTCAAGAGAAACAAGTACAATTGTTGATTGAAAACATTAAACAATAATAATGGTGAGGATAAGTATACAAAATCTTACACTGGGCCTCAATCTTCATTGAAGTAGTGTCAGTTGGTAGTGTTACATTCTGGAATAGAGTACGACGTCGATATTAGTTGATGCTATTTACGGATGCTTCAATCGAACTAGTTCGTAGATCCCGCCAACTGCTCCGAATCTACAAGGAAGTGGCTTGCACGGGTTAATGAGACATTGATCAATGTGTAATTTGGCGATACAGCGCAGTGAAACATTGACTCTCTATGACTTGCATCCAGCTCAAACAAAGCCCACAATCAACGTGAAATCAGGTGTTCGCTGTAATAATTCAATGGATTTCGCTTCTATTACTGCTACATCTGAGTGCCTGTCTCTCCATCATAGTACACGCAAACTCAATGGAGCTAGGTAAGCCTTTTGCTGACTCATCAGCTCAGCCTTGCAGAAATGCACCAGTGGGGTCTCGCCCCGGCTGCCCCTCTGAAACCCTCCGACAGAGCCTACAGAACTCCCTGAAGCCTCGTCACTGTCCAACGTCATCCCAGTCCTCGTCACTACACGCAGGCAGCATCTTCAGCCTCGCCGCATCCCCCCTCATCACATCGAGAACCCTCAACTCTCACCGCCGATAATCCCAAAAAATAGTGGAAGGAAAATAAGGAGAAAGAGAAGGACAAATCAAGAAATCATCACCATGAACCGCCTCTTCGGCTCCAAGCCCACGGGCCCCAAGCCCACCCTCACCGGCGCAATCACAAACATCGACACCCGCATCGCCTCCATCGACACCAAGCTCAAGGCCCTCAACGGCGAGCTCTCCGCCTACCAAGAAAAGCTCTCCAAGATGCGCGACGGCCCCGGCAAACAAGCCATCAAGCAAAAGGCCCTCAAGGTCCTGCAGCGCCGCAAGGCCTACGAGGCGGAGAAGGACAAGCTCGAGAGCCAGGTCTGGAACATGGAGCAGGCGCAGAGCATGCAGGATAACCTCAAGAACGTCATGACCCAGGTCGACGCCATGAAGACTACGAACAAGGAGCTGCGCAAGCAGTATGGAAAGATTGACATTGACAAGATTGAGCGTTTGCAGGATGAGATGGCTGATTTGCTTGATGTTGGGAACGAGATTCAGGAGAGTTTGGCACGTGGGTACGATATTCCTGATGAGGTGGATGAGTCGGAGCTGGATGCTGAGCTTGAGGCGCTGGGTATGGAGGCTGAGCTGGAGCAGGAGTACGGCGCTGGGGCCGTGCCGGGGTTCCTGCAGGACGAGGTCGTGCCCGAGTTTGTTGACGAGCCGCCGCAGACGGAAGAAAAGGTCAAGCAAGCTGCGGGTTAGCATCGTCTTTTGTCAATTTAGTTTCTCTTCATTCAGCATCTAATATCAGTCTATTATATCGTTCCGTGGCGTGGCGTGGCTTCTCATTTGGCTCCTCACGAGCAGCATCGTCAAGCGCAAGTCCCTTCACCCCAACATCATGGCAGTATCACACTATTTCCAATGTTTCACACCCAAGACTATGTAAATAAAGATCACAGGATAGGCGAAGGTTTATTTTGTTTGAGTTTCATCATGCTATTCGTATTTCTCCCCCAAAAGAACAACAAAGTATCTAATGCCATCTACTACCTAATTACCATCCTACCCAAGCCCTGTCCGTAATGTGTCCGCACATTCGAGTAATTACAACATGATACAAACGCCGGGCGAACTGTTGAAACGCCGGGAATGCAAGTTACAGTAATGTAGTCCCAACGCTCTTTTTTTTCTTTTCTTGTTTTTCTCTTTCTTTTTGTATGAAGCACAAAAAAAACACAATGATGGATATGATATGCCAAATCTTTGTTCCCCTCCTAAACTCCTCCCGACGATACGTTGCGTTTTGGGCATGAAACGTTGCGTAAAAACTTTTTGTGTTTGTTTCAGTGGCAATCTCTCCCAGCCCAGTAACGCCCTTTAATCAATCGCTGCGAAGAAGCGAGCAACCTCCTCTAGTTCCGGATCGCCGTTGCAAAAGTCCCAGCCGACAATGACTGGTGCCTGGCTACAGCAGATGATCTTACGAGCATCAAATTGGAGCTTGAAAACGCGAGCCGGTGGGTTTTCAGCCGCCACGATGCGAGGGTGCTGCTCTGGAGCTGGTGCGGCGTCTGCCATTTCGACCGTGCCCGGCTGAGCAGTGGTATGTTCGGGTTGAACGATGGGAGGAAGCTGGGGAGGAGGCCCCTGGCCAGGAGGGATGGAGAGTTGGGAAGGCTGGGGTACAGGTGCGTGGAGAGGAGTGGAGGGATGTACATGTGATGCTGGTGCTGGCGCTGGAGAGTATGCCGACTGTCGATGGTCGCTGCTGTTTCCGCCGTTGATGTCCACCGCTGCGGAAGAAGAAGGCCCTGCCATTGCGCTGCCAGGATATCCGGGAACCAGACCTGCGACTCTCCCCTCTATGTTAAGAGGAGCTAGGATGTGGGCGTTGCCTCGAGCAATGAGGCGCTGTCTAGCCGACTGATTGTTTTGTATCGCAATCAAGCCATCCGCCACCACCTGCCTAAGGTGCGATCTGACAAACGGCGAGGGCTCCCGTTCAATCGCGGCTTGCAGATAGCCATGGTAGATGAGCACGGATGGATGGTTCGCCAGTGCCTGTCTCAGAGCCGCGACTCCAATGGGGACGACCTGGTCTATCATGGCCTTGTAGATGCGCGCCGCCTGGCTGTGCTCACCGCTTGGGTCGCGGATGGGCGACGACTGCATGCCTTGCGACACTCCGGGATGTACCGGCGACACCGCAATAGCTGCCGACGCAAGCTGAGTGCCCTGGCGATGGGCGTTGGTCAGGGCGACTTGCCTGTGTGCGGCTTCGGCGGCCTCTTCCTGGCGCAGATGGTGCGCAGGCTTCCACACACCCTCCTTATCGCGGCGCCAGATGATGATGCTCTGGTCATATGAACCGGAAACGATGCGTCCATATTTACGTCCACCGCCTCCGCCCGGCGGGACTTTGGCACCAGTCGCCTGGAGATCGGCCGGTCGAGAGCTTCCTGCGTTTATTCTCCTAGAGCGACGAATCCTCCGGTCGCCCTCATGGTCAATCTCTCCTGCCTCTACGGCCTTGAAGTACTCGGCGTCCACTCTCTTGGCCTCTGCCGCATCCTCCTCTCGGCTGTACGGCAAGTCACCGAAGCCCGCCTGCACTGTTCGGACGAGATGAGCGTGTCCTCGAAGGGAGGCCACCTTGAGGCCAGTCGGCGCGTCGAAAATGCAAACTTCGTAGTCGCTACTACCACTCACAATTCGGCGCTCATCAAACTCGACGCAGGCAATGCCCTTTTCGTGTGCTGGGATGGTTTGTGTGCAGACCTGTTCCGGCCAGTTCCATACTTTGATGTGGCGGTCGCCAGAGACAGAGACAATGGTGCTGCCCCGGACCTGTATGGCGTTGACGGCAGCGCCATGTCCCTCCAGTCTCCCGATGACAGTATAGGGGGGCTTGACAGGCAGCTCCTGGGAAAGGTCTGGTTCGTAGCCGTAGGGTTTGACGCTCATGCCGACGGGGTTGACGGCTGCATCTACCTCTCCATAGCCCAAGTCGCCGTATCGCAACGGTCGGCGGTTGAAAATCTTGATGGTTTTGTCCTTGGAAGACGTGACTAGGACGCGCTTGTCAAACCTAACGTTGAGGACAGACTCGCGATGGGCGTTTGTGATCCTCTGCACCAGCTCTCCGGTGGAAAACTTCCAGATGAAGACGTTTGAATCGCTGCTTCCAGACACCAGGATGTCCTCAGCCGGGTCTGCGTCAAATTGGAGACACAGGACGGAGCCGGTGTGGCCGGTCAGAGGCGGGCGGACCAACCGGCGTGTATGCATATTCCAAACTCTCATCGTGCGGTCTCGGCTACCGCTGACGAGGTAGTTTGCGTCGAACTGCAGGGTGTAGACACACTCTTGGTGGCCTTCCTCCGGGTAGCTAGGATGTGGTAGCACAAAGGTCTTGTACTTGCCTAGCTCCCAGTTCGATTCAAGGCGCCGCCTCATGTTATACAGGTACTTCCAGTTGATGCGATATCGCGAGCTGTTAATATCCCAAGTCCAGAGAGTCGACTTGATCATGGATGCCGTGGCGTCGCCCGCCTCGATTGAGGGCAACGCCATCTCGGGGGTGCCGCCGGGCTCTTTGCGCTTAGCTCTGCTTTCCGACGACGACGACCCAAGGCCCCGATCTACAGCCTTGCCCTTGGCGGACGAGAAGCTATCCAGGTGCATATCACCCAAGGAGGGCAGCGTCTGCCTCGACTGTAGTCCACCGGCAGACCCAAATAAGCTGGCGCCAGCACTGTTGTCGATGATGCTGGGCAGCCTGTCCTGATCCACCATCTCCAAGTCCTCATCGTCATCGTCATTGTTGAGTATGGCACGAATCTTGTTTGGGTGGTGATCCGACGTTTGCATCCTATGCAGATGTCCTATCGAGTTGCTGACGCCCGTGTTGACCCTGACCTCCCACGCATCAATCTCGGTTTGCACAGCCTTCCAGCCCTCAAGGTAGTACAGTCGCTCCCACAGCTTCCGATCCACGGCCAGGTCATACCACGCCCGACAAGTCTGCAGCACACTAACAAGGGATACGGGGTCAAGAGAGCTAAGGATCTTGAGGCAGATTTCGGCGGGAAGATGGCGGATGAAGTCGATGTAAAGTCTCGGGCTCAGGCGCTCGACGATTTCGACGATGGCAGAAGTTGGAAGCTGGTCCAGGAGTGTCATGGCCAGCTCTGCAGCGGCGGAGTCAGGTTAGGGATAAAGCTCATCGCGACCAGCACCGGGGGATGAAGGAAAACTCACTGGACTTGACGGATACGGGGAGGAGCGCGGCGTTTGCAGCCAGCCATTGCGGCAGCTCGAGGGGGGACTTGAGCGTCGCCAGAGTAGAGAGTTGGTCAGCCAGGCCGGTTGGCCCCAGAGGATCTTCGGAATAGCCTTCGTCAGGCTGGTGGGCGGGAGAAAAGGGCCCCATGGCGCTGTCTCGTCTCGACATGGTTGGGGGGGCTCAGGCTCAGCCTCGCCCAGATGTGAAGCTATCACGCTCGTTGTTTGTCGCTCGACACGGCCGGGGGATTGCGAAGCGCTGGGACGCAGACGGCGGCGCAAACTCCCATATCGAGCTCCAGCTGGCGAGGATTCGGGTGCCAATACCAATGACAGGGCGAGTTGGGCAGGCTAGGCTCGAGTGCAGTGGCAACGAGGACGAAAAAGAAATGTAAGGCAACCAGACGGGAGAGTCAGACGAATGGTCGCGCTGCTGCAGCCCGGGTTGCAGCCTGGACGGAACGACTTCCAAGTCCAATGGATGGCAGTTGAGGCTAGAACCTGAAGGCTTCCGGCGGGGATGGGCCAGTGCTGGGTTCTGCCTCCAGGCGTTGCCAGGCGTTGCCAGGCGCTGCCAGGCGCTGCCAGGCTCAGCCCGCCGAATCCCAGCGCTGTGGAAGTGCCGTAGTGCCGTTTTGGGGGGCGGGGTTTGGTTTATTCAGCAGCGCTACAGCGGGCTGAGGTACGGCCTGGGTACTGGCTGGGTACGGGGACCTGGCCGAGAGTCCGCGGTGGATGGCCTGTACTGGCAAGGTAGTGCGAGCAGGTAGAGTGCCGGACCCGTGACGGCGGCGACCGGGGCTGGCCCGTCCGTTAGTGCTCCAAAACGGCTGCTGCGGGCACTAGGAGGCAGCTGGAGCCCCTGATGTCGGAACTGATGGAACTGAGGCTTCAATCGAATCGAATCAGGGTCGAGTTGTTGGAATGGATGGAGGCTTTTCTGGCGGTTGATTAAGCTTATTTAGGATTGTAATTTCGACGAGGCGGGCGTTTGTGCTGAGTCGCGTGTAAGATGGCCACGTTTGATTTGGTTTGGTCGTTATACGAAGTACATCCAAGACGGCTTGCTGCGTCTCAAACGACGAACAGAAGTCCATTACATGTAGGTACACGCTTGCTTACCGAGCAAACGGTCACGACCCATTTCACATCCGTGAGAAAGACGTGCAGAATTGCGAATTGTTTTGTTTGCTCACGCCAGAGACTTGGCCTCCGTCTCTTAGTTGCCTGTACAAGCTCCAACTACCTACCTGTATGTGGTGCGAGCGTTCAATCTCTCTTCTCGTTGCTACCAACGCCATGCAGTGCTGTATCCCAATATCTCGGCTTCTGTCTGTGTATTTACCAAGATCTTATCCTTCGAACGGATCAGCTGCCGAGCCTTCTCCACAGCTCAAGGAAATCAACCAAGGCTACATATTGCATGTATTTACCCCATAACCAACTTCCGCACGCTCGGTATTCGTCAGCAAAAGGCAGTGCGCAAACCGGCACTGGCATGCAGCTCTAGTGTTTGTTTGTCCATTCGGAGCAAGAGATAAGGCTGATGGCTCGCAATGGTCGTTTGGGTACATGTACCTGACTTTGGGCATGCATTTTAGCTCTTTAGGCATATCGGCAACCTTTATAGACAAAGCAAACTTTAGGACTATCTGCACCTCATACACATGACCGATTCAAGAGGCACTGATTTGCAGACTGCCCGCCAAGATATGAAGGGATTGATTACGAGTACTCTGCTGTAAACAAACGCTCAGTACAGCTGCAGGGCCATCCAATTGGCTTCACCAAACTAACAACTCAGATAAGATACCGTCTCACTAAGACAACCGCTACGGGCGCGCGTTCCTTTGCTGTTGGGCCGCATGAAGGGTCTCGGTCCTAGAGCTAGTGAGATGCAGCTCAGCCCTACAATATGACCGTCTCAACTCGTCGTTGCACCTGTTCTCCACCCCTGATTTCAGCTCTTTGCCGGGGGGGTTTTTTTTTCTCTTCTGCTTTTCAATTCGCAGCCATGGAACAGCTCCATATTCTGCAGAGTAAAGCCCATTGACGTCAGTCGCCATCTTTCAACCCGACGGAAATGAGGTGGCTGGCTGGCGATGTGACGGTGAACAAGATACGATCTTTCACCGCCGTTGTACAAATGCCAACAAGCCGAGAAGACGTAATACTATCTGTTGCGAATCCACAAAAAAGGCACTCATGTGATCAGGTTGAAATCCATTGGGATTCATACGATAGCAATTCAGGTACAGGACGGAGTAGCTACAGCATGTTAGGGATGTTCAGCTGAAAGGAGGCTGATGATCCCAGCTCCGGGTAGGCATTACAGTTGGGACTTGGCATCTGAACTGGCTTTTGACAGGAGTGCCTGCACGGAGTACCTAGTGCTATCGAACTCGTACGTAGGTCAGTTTCCCAATCGGCCGTTTTGCCTCGCTTGCGTCAGGGCAGCCCAGCAGAAGTTGCTCCCCAGTGGTGGATTAGTTTGTTTATACGTGAGCGTGAAATGTGAAATGTGACGAGCTCTGAACATGGGGTTGCCAGGCCTATTTCTCCGAGTAGAGAGCCTTGAGCGTGCGTTGAGCTACTGTACCTAGACTGCAGACGATACTACTATTGTTAGATTGGCGTCTCCTTTTTTTTCTTCCCTTGCCGAGAGCTGTACGGCTGAGAATAGCTAGACGGACGGATGCATCAACATGTATTCAAGAAACATTACCGGTGCAACCTCAGACCAAGGCAGCCTACAGGTACCTAATGAAGGAGCAGGGCATGGCGTACGAGGCGTACCGTAGATTAGACGATGTGATAACATGCGTATGTCTAATCAATAGCAATCCATAGAACGCCCAAGAGCTGGAGCTGGAGCTGGCGCTGCTCGTGTATGTGCCTAGCCGCATCATGAGATATCGGAACCCGTAAACAACTGGTAAGCAAGCAAGCAGAGAGCAGCGGTGAAAACGGCTAGCCAAGAAGGGACCTGGAGCTACCACGATGGCCTAGTCGATTTGATCACAGCAATGTTTTGTCGTGAGCCAATGCACGGGAGATTGCTACGAGAAGTGTGACGATGCGGATGGCCTCGTGGGCAGTGCTGAGACGCGGGCCGTTGACGCAATGCGACGTCGTGGGCGGTTTTGTTGGTTCAACAGCCGCCGGTGGGTGCGACTGAAACAGATGGGAGGAAGCATGTGAGAAGGGGGAACTGGCCGTTTGTTTTCAATGTTGTTTATTTGTGAGTGTTTTGGTTGGCTGGTTGGTTGATTGGCGGGAAGAAGAGTTTGTCTCTTGTTTGGTTGACGTTGTGTGAGGAGTTAGAGCCAGTTGTTAAGTCATGAATATTGACATTTGAAGAGAAGTTGTTAGTTGATTCATATTGATACAAGCCACTGCTCTCTATTGTCATCATTATCATTCTTATCGCCGTTCCGTGGCGCCAGACAACAGACATTCAACACAAGGCATGATTTCTCAATTTCCCTCTGGTCGTCCCATTTTAGCCTGGCCAGGCCTAGCGCCAGCTCTGGCCATTGTGAAACAAGACACCGGCGCACTTGTGCATGCCACCAGACCCAAGGGTGCTAGGCAAGTACTGCTACTTACATCCGTGGGCGCTAGCTGCAGCCAGCCCGAGTCCTTGGTACAAATCGCTGCAGTCTCGCCGTTGCCGCTGCCACGGTGGCAAAAACGGCGCGCTGGCACAAGACATTGGCTGCTCCAACCACCCGCAGCAAGGGAAACGAAAGGCTATCATCACTAACAAGGGAAAATACAAATCTTCAGCTGGAAGAGAACACATTGAAGGCAAAGAAAAAAAAAAGGAAGAAAAAAAGGGTCCCGAAGCGCCCCCCTCCTCTGCAGCCCCCCCCCAGTTGAACCCCCTGATTTCGAAGCCCAGCACCGCACAAAGTCTCCGCGCTAAGCCGCCCTGAGCGCCTGTGGCCCCCCCAATCGTCCCAATTAGCAGCCCCCCAGAGCCTGTAGATCAACTGATGCCTCCAAAGGGCCTGATACTGTACTCGTACTTGTACTAACGTGCCCTCAATTGCTCATTGGTACCTGAGCCCGAGTATCTGCACACCACTGCGCCCAGCAGCCGGTACCGTCCCCGGCAGTACCCCATAACAGTCGAGTCGAGCCTGTCCCATCTCCAACTCTTTGTCAGGACAGCCTCTTAACTCTTCCTCTTCTTCCCTTGCCCCTTTACCTCCTGATCCTGCTGCCTCTGCAGCCTCGGCGTGCAACTCGTTAACACCATCCCCGCACACCGACTGCATAATATCCGACCGGCAGATCGCAACAGTAAAACTGCGCTGACGAGCATCGCCCTCCAGAGCCAGGGGGGCCCTTTCGATACCCGTCCGAATCCTGACACTGTTTCCCCCCACCAGCAGTGCAAAGCCGTCTCGAGACGTTGCGCCGTTTTGCCATCGCCTTAAACCCGACGAAACGCTCCGTTTAGAGTAGAGAGAAGAGAACAAGAGAAAGAAAGAATATCGTACAAGACAGAGGGAGAGATAGAACGACACTGTTAGAACGCCCACAGCCAAGCCGGCCATATAGAGAGAGATAGAGACTTAGAGACCGGGAGCGATCACGATACACGTACACGTACACGTTTCCCGATTCACCGACGACCAAACACTCCGTCACATCGTATCCTCTCTTGCCGACTCAACTGCCCTCTCGACAGCCTCGTCGAGACTCGAAACTCAGCCTCCCCGTAGCAGGTCAGCCCGACTGCGGCTCGTGAGGCTCTTACCAGCGCTTGAGCTGCGACGTCCAGTAACTCCCCTGGCACCGGCCAGACGCAGAAACGACAGGTCGCCGACGGCAGCAATCCATTGAGACAGGCCCTTCGCGTTAAATGACGTGAATCCGTGCTCATTAAGGATCCGCAGCCCACGGACAGTCTTCCGCAAGAAACTCGTTCGCCAAAACCCCCGCCTTCGGCCTGGACCCCCCCTGTTTCCTCCTCTTCTCTGCTTCAACCCCGTCCCCGACTTTTCTCACGCTCGCCCGAAGCCGCTCTTCGTCCCTGGAACTGACCTGACCTGACCTGACCTCGACCCTCAACGACCTGCAAGCCCTAGATATCGGGCCCCCGACGGATGGAGTAGAGAGGTCATGGCTCATGCACCCCTGCTCAGAACCAACACGGCCCCGGTCTTCCAGTCTCATCCAAACGGAGCGGGCGCTTTACCACAACAAAGTATGAGCAGCAGTGCGCCGCGCACTAGCCAGCTGTCTGGATCAACAGCCTATGCTGGATCTTCAACGTCGCTCACCACACTCAATAGCGACATGACGGTGGTTGCCAATGGCCCGGTTGTGGCCACCAGCAACATCATCAACCAGAAAGCCGACGCCTCGCGATCCCTCTACCAGATATGCATCTCCCTCAAGCAGCGCCTAGCCCAGGTGCCGGGCTTCGAGCCCTTCCTCGAGCATCTCGACCCGACAGATCCAGTTGACCCCCTCTGGAATCTCTTTCGCTCTGGCTATCCGCTCCTCGTCATTTACAACACGCTACAGCCGGCAGAGCCGCTGGCCATTGACGATGCCAATGCCAATGCGTCCGACTCCAAAAAGTCCAAAATCGCAATCTTCAAGTTTGTCCAGGCCTGCCTGAAGGACCTCCAAGTGGCGTCTTCCGATTGCTTTGTCATTACTGATTTGATGGGCAACGACACGAGCGGTTTTGTCAAGGTATGCTTTCCCCCTTAAGTTTTAGTAGGATAGCTTGTGTGTGTCTCTGGCGCATAGTGCCTCGTTTTACACCAATTTTTCGTCATTTTCCTATCCTTCTTTTCAGCCTTCTAACGCCCAACAGGTTACCCAAGTCGTTAACTACGTTCTTGACCTTGCGGAACAGCGCGGATACCTCCTTCAGCTGCAGCCCTATCCCGATGGCGAGCCTACTGAGGCCGGTGCCGGCTCCAAAATGACATATCGAGATCACGTCGTCAAGGAACTCGTCGATACCGAACGAAAATACGTCCAGGACTTGGAGAATTTGCACGACTTGAAGAAGGCCTTGGAGCAGAAGGGAGTGATTCCCGGTGACGTTGTCCACCAGATTTTCCTCAACATCAACTCCATCCTCGATTTTCAACGCCGCTTCCTGATTCGAGTCGAGACCACAAACTCCATGCCTGCGGTCTCTCAGCGATGGGGCCAGCCTTTTGTTACACACGAAGAGTTTTTCAGCATCTATCAGCCCTTCATCGCCAACCAGCGCAAAGCGGCGCAGATTGCGAACCAAGTTTTCGACCAGATCCAGCAGTCCGACCACCCCGTCGCCGCCGACTTTAACACTTTGGATGGTTTCCTCCTGAAACCCATGCAGCGTCTAGTCAAGTATCCACTGCTGCTCAAGGTACGTGCTAATTAAACTCTACCTCTAAAAAGTATTTATGCATGTTCCTCTATTAACTCGCCATTAGGATCTGGCCAAAAAGACGGAAGAGCAGGAGACAAAGGAGGATCTTCTTGCCGGATGCGAGGCTGCCGAACGCGTTCTCCAGAAAGCCAACGAGGCCGTTAACCGCGACCTTCTCGACGATGCGCTGGAGGAACTCATAACCAGAGTTGACGATTGGAAATCACACAAAATTGAGTCGTTTGGAAAGCTGTTATTACACGGTGTCTATGGTGTCATCACCGGCAAGAGTGAACAAGAGAAGGACGTACGTACACAGGCATCTCCCGTGCATCTCCCGACAAACAAAAAGCTAACCGTGTCCCCAGTATGAAATTTATCTGTTCGAATGCATCCTTTTATGCTGCAAGGAAATATCACCAAACAAGAGCAAGGACAAGAAGGACAAGGCCCGACAGCAGGGCCCAAAGACGAAGAACAAGAATGCCAAGCTGCAACTCAAGGGCAGAATCTTCATGACCAATGTTACCGATGTTGTATCATTGTCAAAACCTGGTTCGTATACTCATCTTTTTGGGCAAAGGCGGATTTTTTCCGCTCCTTCTTTTTGGCATCTAGCTGACATTTCTTTTCTCAGGTTCTCATAGTGTTCAGATCTGGTGGAAGGGAGATCCCGGTGTCGAAAACTTCACCATCAAGTTCCTCACGGAGGAGATGATGAAGAAATGGGCCAACGGCTTGGAGACGCAACGTAAGGAGAATGCGCCACGGGCCGCCACAAGTCCAGACGACAACCCTACCGATTTCGCTTGGACACGAGACCAGGCCGGCGGGCTCGAAAACCCCTACCTGCAACAGGAAGACGATGACGACGACGACTTGGGACCCGCGACCGCTCCTGCTCAGTTCCCGATGCCAGCATCCTCCTTCGGAGGCTCGATCCCTCGAACTGCTTCAAGCTCCAACCTGAGAGACATGAGGCAGCGCTCGGTAACGGCAGAGACCTCTCAGTCTCTGGCTAGCATCGCAAGAGCCCCCCCTCCACGATTCCCATTGCCAATGCCACCACCGCCACCTGCTCCCCTTAGCCTCCAGACTGCAAGCAGCATGACCGTTCCGTCGCCGGGAGTCCGTGGAGGGGACAGCTACTTTTCCCCCATTGGTGATTCGCCTGCGTCTTCTCGAACCAGCACGACAAGCGGCATGTTCCCACCAACCAGCTACCCATTCCCAAAGACGGGGACTCCCCAGCCCGGATGGGATGAAAACAACCGCTACACAGCACCGGCGATGCCCCGTGCCCCGTCCCGGGACGGCACACCCCCTACTGGAAGAAACCCTCGCGGCCCTTCTCTTCCTCCCATGGCCATCCAGAATGTCAACAGCGCCCTGAACAACGGCAACAACGCCAACGGGCAGCAGAGGAGCCGCTCATACAGCACGCCCGATGTGAATGCCCAAGGCCAGCGGCGCCAGCCCAGCCAGGGCAGTATCCCTGCTGTACCCGGTATTCCCATGCATCTTCACCCTGCGCACGACAGCTCCATCCCGAGATCGCAAACCGGCTCTCCCCGAAACGATGCGCCCGCACCGCTACGGACGAGCACGCAGAGCCCAGGCAGCCAAGGCCCGCGGATGCATAAGCACTCTCACTCGGGCAGCGTGGGCGGAACCATGGCTCAGTTCCCTACTCAGCCGATATATCCTCGACAGGCTACTCCTGGACCTCCAAACGGCACCAATGGCCTTCGTGTTGACCCTGCAGTGGCCAACTCAAGGACCGTATCGCCCTCTCTCGGCACTGCAACCATGTCTCAAGGTATGCTTGCTCATCACGGCATGATACCTCAGGGCATGATGCCTTCCGGCATGTCTGGGGGTATTCCAAACATGCCGGGTATGCCAGCCAATGGACTGGCAAGCCCCGACGTGGCCCTGCCGACGCAACTCAAGGTCCGCGTCACCTGCGACACTGGAAACTATGTCACCCTTGTCGTTGCCTTCAATATTACTTACCAGTCCCTGGTTGATCGGATTGATGCCAAGCTAGCGCGGTTCACGACCAGCAGCATCGCACAGGGTGCGCTAAAGCTACGTTATCAAGATGAGGACGAGGACTTTGTCACTATCGAAAGCGACGACGACATCCAGATTGCCTTTATGGAGTTCCGCGACGGCATGAAGAATGCCTACTCCGCCGGCGTAGGAGAGATAGAGCTCTTCTGCGTCGGCGACATGGCGACTTAAACTATCTGCACACCAGCATTCCTTATTGGAAACCAGAGCACGCCTCTATAGATGGAGGCGCAATTTACCGGGAAAGCATATTTATCCTACGGACTACCACAGACGATTCGCATGTTTTGGTGTATTAGAACCATTGCATAACAGCAAATCTTTTTCTTTTTCTTTTTCTCATATTTTAGAATGGCACGAGCTGCCATCATATTGACGACGGTCCAAGGCCCAAACAAAAGATACCTCTCGAAATCATCATATAGACACGACACCACACGACATGTGCGATCATGACCAGTTTATTTTATGCTATTTATTATCATCAGACTCCAACTCAGGTCATTCTTTCGCACCTACTCTCCGACGTTGCCGATGGCCCGTTGCCATTTCTGTTTACCTTTTTTGGCTCGAACTTTGAAGAAGAAAAATAAAAAGACGCACAAGATTTGCTTATGCGATGGACATTCATATCTAAACAAGCGCCGGCATCACAAGATGCAACAAATACAATCTAGCGAGAACAAGCTATAGCCGAGGGCGACTCAGCGATACACTCTTTCCCACCGAATTTTTCCTTTTCTTTTTTTCGCACCCCCCTTTTTCTTTTATCCTCCTCCTTACTACAACTATTATTATTATTGGGAATACACTATTTTTTTGAGTTGAGCTGAAGTGCAGATTTTATCCAAGCTCTTTTCTCTTTACCATCATTTCATGGGATTATATGGCGCTAGTGACAAAGACGGGAGGTTTATAGGAGAAATGAGAAGGCTATTCACTTTTTATTCTTTTTTTTTTATCTTTACTTGTTTGGGCGGATGATTTGGTTGTCAGTGTTTTTTTGTTTCCCCCTATGCATACTGATTTTTTGGCTTTGTTTTTTTCTTCTTCTATTAGTTCTAGTCTTTCTGCGTTTCTTCGCCTCCTATGCTTTCTCTTTCCATGTTGAGATGATGGGTTTTCGTTGTTGGATGTTTTTTGTGTTTTCTAGTATTGGATAGACAGAGGGGATGATGGTGCAAACAGAGATGGTGATGGAAGTATTTGCGTGTGCTGTGCATTGTGAATGGTGAGAGATGGAATGGACTCCCTTCATGCGTGACTTGAAATGTGGCGGGGTATTGTTGATGTTTTGGGTAAGAAGATGGCAGAAATTGTAGATTCTCACATGGAGGATACATTTATTGTTCAATCTTTATATAAGATGGAGTATTCCCATCAGA